GACACACACACACACACACACACACACACACACACACACACACACACACACACACACACACACAAACGACGTACTCTGTGTTGAGGAGCCACTTGACCGGTTTGTCAGCGATCTTGTTCTTGCTCATGAGCGACAGGTCCGCGCTGTACAACAGGTCCATGGTGCTGGCAATGCTGGTGCTGCGGCTGCCCATGCTGCTGACACAGCAGGCACAATGGTTAGTTTGAGTCTCAGTGAGAGTTTTTCGGCACTTGCAACACAATCAGGTCATATATGTACCGAAGATTAGATGAGTTACAAGAGATTAACAAACACAAAAAGTTTTTAAAAATTTTTTAGTAAGTGTTTTACAGCATGTGCAACGGAATTAGGTAATATATAAGGCCAAAGATTAGAGTTGTTATTAGAAAGAAGCCAACAAAGAAGAGAAGGAGGGGAGGTAAGGACGATAAGTTAGACGGGAAAGAAGGAGCAAACCACAGCAGATCACCCGGCAACCACCCACCACAATAGTAAGACATTTTTTCTTTTTTTTTTTTTTTAGACGACATCAGTGATATTGGTTCATCATTCATCTATTTCTCTGCTCGGATGCCATAAATAAACAATATTATTGTCCTGTCCATTTTGCCTTCTATGGTCATCATACCACTAGATTCTCTATGCCTCTTGCTCATATTGAAAAAAGAGGAATAATAATATCAAGACTATTTTCACTATTTTCTTTCCTGTGAGAGAACTTTGAATTTTATACACAGACCTCAACCCCTTTTTGCCCTCTATTTTTGCAGAGAATGAAAACAAAATACTCTGGATATTTTGCTCGAGTTGATATGAAGAACATGATGTCATTACACAGAATTTCATCTTGAAGGTATCATAATTTATTGTAGAAGTCTACGTTTATTCTCAACTGTAAAGCAGCCCTTCTACCATTTCATGTATTCTGGTTAGACTCTTTGCCATCGTATGCAAGCAAGAGTAAGTTCAATCCGCTTGTAGGGAGCTTTTCTTCTTCCCACAAAAATGTCCAGTAATTGTGTGCGGGAATATTCATCATGTCCTGGGCCTGAGTTGGCCCTACAAGGGGGTCGAAAACAACCTACCTTTTAATCTTAAATGTTTCAAATGTTAAAAATTGGGGTACCAAACACATGCAATAATAAAAAAGCTGTAGAGAGGAAGAGCCTGAAACAGCGACGCATTCTCTCCTGGTGATTTCCATGCTAGAGCCCGGGCAATTCGGCTGTGAGCAGTGCATACGTCTGTTTAGACTACGTCATTTCGTATAGCTATCTAAGCTATCTAACTGGCAGAGAAAAGAATCACAAAAGCGATCGAACGAGAAATACTTGGGCAAAGAGTGGGTTACCTGACCACGCTGGACCTGGGGAAGCCGTTGTGCTTGTTGGTTGTTACGTCAGCACAGGGCGGGGTGGAGATCTCGTCATAGGAAGACCAGGAGTTGCAGCTCATGGTGGGCGTGTTCAGGAACGCTGACATCTGCAGGGGAGGGGGTGGGGGTGGAGGGGGACATTGATTATTTATAAGAAATATCATTAACGATAGTTGCATTCATATTATAGCGCAAATCCATACTCTTCAGTATGCTCTCAAGCGTAAGATTGCTGTTCAATAGTATGCTCTATGTTCTTTGCAAATATTACGTTATTGCCATAACACAATAGTGTAAGTCATTCTGTTGCTGTTGTTGCTGTTGATGTAGTAGTAGTAGTAGTAGTAGTAGTAGTAGTAGTAGTAGTAGTAGTAGTAGTAGTAGTAGTAGTAGTAGTAGTAGTAGTAGTAGTAGTAGTAGCAGTAGTAGCAGTAGTAGTAGTAGTCGGAAGCCCCCCACCCCCACCCCCTTTCTCTCTCTCTCTCTCTCTCTCTCTCTCTCTCTCTAACTCTCTCTCTCTCTCTCTCTCTCTCTAACTCTCTCTCTCTCTCTCTCTCTCTCTCTCTCTCTCTCTCTCTCTCTCTCTCTCTCTCTCTCTCTCTCTCTCTCTCTCTCTCTCTCTCTCTCTCTCTCTCTCTACTCTCTGTCACCCTTTCTTGATAATTCCGGCCACGCCAAAAACTTGCAAATAAAAGCACAAACAAACAAATACACAAATAAACAACCCTAACTCACCGAGTCCTCCTCCAGCGAGTGCCCGAACTGTGTGCTGAAAGAAGCCGCCGTGTCCTTGAGGAACTGACTCAGCCTCTGGTCCTTGACATCAGAGCTGGTACTCAGACCGCTGAGCCTCCGCCCTGTCGCAGACGTCAGATGCCCCTCCCCTTCATCCGTTCCCTCCCCTGCCTCCTCAGACACAGACGACATGGCGGTGCTGTCAGCGTCCGTGTCAACGTGAACGTTCGTGTAGTCCAATCGCCACTGAGCTTCGGGGTCACGTGACTGCATGTTGTTGTCTTGGATACTGCTGACGTCAGAGTCTTTCCGGCTGAGCAGACGAGAGGCGTCGCCGCCGGAGGAGGAGGAGGAAAAAGTTCTCTTCCGCGAAAGGACAGAAACTGTGGAAGAAGATACTGTAGAGGAGGGGGCGGGGGTCGTGGATGAAGATTGGGGTGTGACGTCACTGGTGATGGAGGCATCGCCTCCCCCGATGCTATCGGCGGCGGGTGTTGGGGCGGTTGACTCGACTGACTGCTTCTCCGGAATGCTCGGGGTCAAATCTTTTCCTGAGCCTGCATCATTTTCGGGAATTATTTCAGTCTGTGGGCGAAATTTGGGTGCGTTGACAGAGGACAGTTTTTTGTAGGTGTTCTTGAAAGACTGAACACGAGCCTCGTGAACACAAGTCTCTTCGTCCGAGTCCCCGTAGAATTTGGTGTCAATGTCCGCGTTGCTAGCAACGCTTTCTGTCTCCGTGACAGTGCTCGGGGTGGTCGCTGTCGTTCTTGAAGAATCCTCCGGACTGAGCATCTCCGATTTGCTGCACAGCTTCGCTTGACAGTCTTTTAATCCTATCTCCTTCACGTCTGTATCACGGGTCGGGGCTTTATGAAGCTCGACGTAAAACTGAGAAAACGTCTCAGACTTCCCAGCAAACCGTCGCGGTCTTCCGCCGACCGGGTTAGAGACGACCCGACGTAGCTTTGTGTGCCCGTTAGGGGCGAGAGGGAGACTGGAGGGTCGTTCGACGCCCGTCCTTTCTTTGCCCAGAGACCCATTTCTGGGGGCGACTAAGCTTTCTGGAACACCAACAGGCCTTGTTGGTGATCTGAGTTTCGTAGGAGATGAGGAAGGTGACTCCACAGAATTATCCTTCACCTTCGCCTCAAACTGAGCTGCAAGAGACCGGACGTTAGCGAGCGTGCTTCTTCGGGAATTTCTGTGGGCGACTGCTCTTTCCACAGGCGTTGTTACAACATCGTCTTCTTGGGACCCATGTTTGTCGCTTAAATACCCGTTAACGCAATGTCCGTTGGGGACAGAAACGTCTCCACCACACGGTGTTGTAGAATTAGAGAAAGAAGTATCCTCCACATCCTTCTCAGGTGATTCGAATTCAGAAGAACGTCCATGTCCCGGCGGAGGGTTGGCGTGACTGCCGTCCTGTGTCGGTGTTTCTAACGACGTGTCTATGGGGGTATCCTCCGAGAAAACGTCGTCGGAACCACACGTTTTGTTCGAATCTTCTGACACACTCCGCCCGTTGGACTCGAGAGACTGGCTCGTCTGCGACCTCTGTCCAGGGACGACGACGACACCAACGTTCTGGTCGTCTGCCGGTGGACTCGAGGTTTTCTCATCAACTTTCAGTGAGTCGCCAAGAGCTGCTTCTTCTTTGTCAGAAAGTACAACATCTGTGGTTGCATTACCTTCGCACTCAGCGGTCTCAGCATTGTCCTCGGTTTGAGACATGCTTGAAATATCGCTGTCGCCGTTGGAATAAAACCTCGACCCCTTATTTATACAACACTCGAGGTTATTTTCCTTTTGAAAGTCATCCCCGGGATCTGAGCTACCAGAGTTTTTCAGCCTGTTCTTCATGTTCTTGATTTGTTCTGAAGTCTGCACGCCATTTAGTTTATCTGACGGTAGGTGTTTGTTGGATGAAGATCTGTCGGAAGAGGAACTGATCTTCTTAGCGTTTTCATTGTCTTTTTTCTCCTTGGCGTTAGGAATGTTATCATCTGTAATAGATGACACCCCACTGTCTTCAGACTTATTTTTTGTTCGACCCTCCTGCATTAAACGAGAAGTTGAGTTTTTGCCACGAGCCAAACCCTGGCCGGAATCTGTTTTCGCAACACTCTGATCACTCCCAGAATCTTTTCTTTTTGGCTCGTCTTTCTCCATATCAGGTCTGTACAAATAATACACGGAGGGGGGCTCTGGCAGGTGGCCGTTACTCACAGACTCGTCCTGACCTTTGCCCTCATCAGAGCTCCGGTCCGCGACGAGTGTGTTGTTCAGGGACGTGGAGTCTGGCGCACACGAGGAGGTGGACGAGAAGCTTCCGGTCTTGGCGTATCCGGAGTCGTTCTGAGACACGGCGCCCGACGTGTGGGACCCACTAACAGCCGATGACATTTTCGTGACGGCCGACGAGTTGTCGTCGGTTTCGGCCAACACATTTGACGTCACCGACACGTCCGTCTTGTTGGAGCCGGTGGACAATTTTTTCTCCACAGAAGCCTTGCCGGCCGAGCCAGAAGAACTTCTGTCAGTCTTTGACTTGACTTTTGAACTGTTGCTAGATGATGAGGTCTTACCATTTTGACCACCTGCCGCTTCCCTCCGCATATTCTGAATATTTCGAGAACCTTCTCGAACGTTTTTAACACCCGCTGGCTTCCCCTGGTCAGAGGAGCTACGGGAGTTATCTCTAACTTTAGCATTGTCTTTTTCCGAACGGTTCCCCGAAGTGAGTTTACCAGCAGGAGGAGCGACACCAGCAGCAGAAGACACTGTGGAAGAGTTGTCCCCTTCCCCGTCACCCCGAGGAGTAAGAGGAGCGGAAGGAGGAAGTAGGCTATTATCACTTGACGTATCACGTGACGTATCCGCAACAAAGCTGTCTCCAACTAGCCTCTGACAGTACAAGTCCTTCACTCGCTTCTCTACTTCAACCAGCCGCGTCAAACTATCAGTGTCCCCCTTGTGTTGGAGGGTCAGCCACGACTGGCTGTCCTCCATGTCCGTGAGACCCACGGCTTCTGTCATGAAGGGGGAGGAGTCGGAGGGCGTCTTGCCCTGGGTGAACACGTCAAAGGTGATGAGAGTTCCCTCCCCTGTCCCCACCCACACGCTGTGGTCTAAGGCCAGGATGGACGTGATGCGCGCGTTGTTGAAGTATGTGTCGTCTTCCTGAAATGCACATATTATATAGTTATGATTGTTGCCGTTGTTGTTGTTTTTGTTGTTGTTGCAGTTGTTGATGTTGTTATTAGTGTTGTTGTTGTTGTTGTTTTTGTTGTTGTTGATGAGTCTTAGTTTTAGTAAAAGTTTTACGGCACCTGCAACACAATAGGGTCATATAAGTGCCGAAGGTTAGAGATGTTACAAGAGAGTGACAAACACAACAATGATGGAGGGGAGCTAAAGACGATAGATGTTTGATAGGAAAGGAGAAGCAAACCACACTACAGCACCCTCCAACCACCCACTGTTATTGTCGTTGCTGTTGCTGTTGTTGTTGTTGTTGTTGTTGTTGTTGTTGTTGTTGTTGTTGTCAATCCAGCCGGCTCTCGCCCCTCTGTCACATGCCATGTAGTGATAAGTGCAGGTTTGCTGTAGTTGCTGTAATGTTCCATAGAGTGTGTTGTCAATGTTTGGTCTCGGAGAGAGAGAAGCGTAGCCCTGATGTCATGTAGGATGTGATTATGTAAATGTCCCAAGCCCCCCCCCTCTCCCCATTCAAAAAAAATTTAGACCATTAAGAAGTCGGGCGTGACGGTGCGTGCTTTTAAAGTCTTTCCTTACTTCTTCACCTCCTCAAACAGTATGAAGAGTTCTAGACAACAGCAGAAAGGTTTCCCAAATATAGCTGTGGTTGTACAGTTTTTACGCTCCGGTTTACACAATATCGAGCCAATCCTAGTATACGGGTGCGAAGCATGGACAATCAATAAACAGCTGGAAAGAACAATTGTTGCGGCCGAGTTGTGGTTCATGAGACGCATGCTACGTATCCCATGGACAGCTAGAAAAACAAATGAAGAAGTCCTGGTTGAAGCAAATTATAGAAAACAACTTATCACGAATATAAGAAAACGACAGGCAAATTTTTTCGGACACACAATGCGGAAAGAAGCATTAGAGAACATTGTAACAACAGGAAAGTTTGATGGAAAGAGAGGTAGAGGCAGACAGAGGGAAAAGATACTGGACAAGATGACAACATGACTGGGAGCAGCAAGAACAACAGACACCATTGCTGCTCCGAAAGACAGATGGAAGTGGAGGTCCATGATCGCCCACGTCAGTCGGCAAGGCACCGGATGATGATGATTACACAATATAGATCATTAAGAAGGCGGACTGCTTATTAGGCTAATTCGGAATGAGAGGGATGAAACATTCCTGCTAAAAGATGGAGATTCTCAATAATATACTTTCCTGACCCCACACAAAAAATCGAACTCATGTCTTATGAGTGTTATACTGGCAAAGAGCCAAATCGTTACATCACAGATGCTGGTCACGATATTTCGTACAGTGCATTCATAAAAACAATTCTGTTATTATATCGACATCACGTAATACAAAAAACAACATCAGTAATGATAATATTACATAGCACGCCGTTACAGCTACTGATTATTACAACGCTGCTCCTTCTTTTTTCAGCTAGGGATATAACTCTTTGCTCAATGTCACATAATCGATATGACCAACGACCACCCAGCTTTCTGAACATAATTTCAGAATCTGACCTCACTAATCAGTCGACAACTGGATAAAAATGAAAATAAGTCAGAGCAAGCAATAATATTTAATTTGTTTCTGCTAGTGCTGCTGCTGCTACGATTATTAAGATGAATGGTAAACGAAAATCAATCATCAGGGTCAACTGACCTTTCTTAAGTTGGGGTAGCGACCTGTCCGAGTATCGTAGAGCATCTTGCAGGACAAACTCATGGGGTCCCAGAGTTCAAGGACACTGGAACCCCTCACGGACAGCCACACGCCAGGAAGTCCGGGGACAAGGGAGAGAACTGTGTCGTACGGGTTAGCGGACACAGTGAACCGGTCCATTGGGTCCAACGTGCTGGGAGAAACATAGGGAGAGGCAATGTCGTTATGATTGTGAAGTTTGTATTATTACGTTGTTTGAGCCTTAATCAAAACACTTTCGATCATTTAGTTGACATTGGGAGAAACACGTACGGGGAAAATGTTATCTGGATTGTGAAGTTTTTAATAAAATGTACGCCCCCTTTAACACAATTTAGATCATCGAGTAGTATACATTACCTATTTCGAGAGCCTAAACAGAATAATACGGTGACAGGGAAAGGTCAGGATAATGTAGCTTTCTTGAAAGCATCCTAGCAAAGGAATGAATGGAGAATCAACGATAATCGGTGTCTGTCGCAGATGCCGCACATGATGATGATAAGTTGCATTGTAATAACAGGTCACTGTCAGCGAGAGTGCTGGGGTACCGATACACAAAGGAAGAAGGTCGTTTGGTTTGAGAGCTTTGCATGCAAATATTTACAAACTCGTCAACACAATTTAGATCATTTATCTAGCAGACATTGAAAGAACCGATCTATAGGGTCAAGTGAACTGGCAGGAGCACACAGAAGGGTAGTGTCTATAGGTTTGTGAATTTTTAAATCAATTGCTTTTTAATGCCATCGCCTTCACAATTTAGATTGGTTCATTGGCATCATAAAACCAGTTCCGCGTGATGATCATATTATATACGACAGAGGGAGAACGCTGTTAGATTTGTTTATTTGCTTGTCTCTTTAGCTTCAACAATTTCAAATCATGAAGCCTCATTAAATTGTTACTTGCTGCCCACTCTGTGACTGTTGCTCTCCAAATGAGTTTGACTTGAGCTACAGGAACTCTCAGGTCGAAGAATTATTGATGAAGTCCTTCAGAGACATTTCCAGAGTATCTTTGTGGCACTTTTGTTGGCTCCAACTTAACATTTCTCTGAGGACAACACATAATAGAATACTGCTTTTGGAGTTCTGAAATCAGGCATTCTTATGACTTTGCCAGGCTAGAAAATTTGGACTCTTTTGATCTTAGACATAACGTGTGTATTTTTTTTTTCCTGAAATAATACACGATTCCAATCATAATTAATGAATCACCTTGCATGAATGATGGACACTGTGTTTCCACAAGAACACCAAAGCTGGTTGCCGAGCAACTGAAGACATGTGACCTGAGACTGCCCAATGGGGAGGTAGAGAAGGTCATAGGATGCACAGCTGGCAGTGATGTTCTGTTTAAAATGAAGATACACACACAAAACAAAACCAAATTTATTGTCAATCCAAATTAAGTAACTGTTACATCAACATGGTTATAACATACCTTATTTTTATTTTTTTGTTTTGAGAAAGTAAAGAACACTTTAATATCTCTCTCCCACCCCCTTCTCTCTCTCTCTCTCTCTCTCTCTCTCTCTCTCTCTCTCTCTCTCTCTCTCTCTCTCTCTCTCTCTCTGTGTCTCTTTCTCTCTCTCTCTCTCTCTCTCTCTCTCTCTCTCTCTCTCTCTCTCTCTCTCTCTCTCTCTCTCTCTCTCTCTCTCTCTCTCTCTCTCTTTCTCCCTCACTCCCTTTCTCTCCCTCTCTTTATATTTTTCTCAATGTCTTTTTGTCTTTTTATTTTCATCTTTTCACAATAAAAACAATCTATAAACTTTTTACTACCACACACCTCAAAGACAGCCACAGTCCCGTCGGCCATGGCGGCAAAGAGCCTGTTGGAGTGGTCTCCCTCCTCGTCCCTGTACACCTGCATACACAGCACGGCGTCGTGCACTCTCTGTTCCCACAACAGCTCTCTGTGGACACATCCACGCAATAACGGATCTTTATGTTTGTTTTTGTAAGAGTTCTTGTTTTAGTTTTAATAGAGATTTTACGGCGCTCGCAACTGCATAAGGGCATATGAGCGCAAGAAGATTATAGATGTTACAAGAGAGTAACAAGCATAAAAAAGAAGAAGGGGGAGATAAGGAAAGAAGGAGCAAACCACATACCAGAGCACCCGCCAACCACCCACTGTAAAAGTTATAAGGCACTTGCAACACAATAAGGTGTTAAAATTGCTGAAGATTAGAGGTGTTACAACGGAGTAACAAACAGTAAAAAATACAACAACAAAGAAACAAAAGAAGGAGCAGAGATACGGACGACAGATGTATTTGATAGGAAAGAAGGAGCAACCACACCAGAACACCCGACAACCACCCTTAACGTCTGTTTAGTGCAGGGAATAATATGAAAGATAGACAGAAAAATACATTGCAGCTTGAGTAAAAAGTACCACATAAACATAATTACAGTTATGTACAAGTAGGTTGGAGAAAAGGCTGGGCGATAACAGAATTACATCTTTGTAAAAATGTAGACACACCTCCAATAACACAGTTAAGATAATTAAGAGGCTCGTTGCTTTATCCTGCCTATAGGGATCAAAACGGGCTGAGAAGGACACAACTTTCCAATAGATAGATACAGTGACTCGATGTGTTTAAGTTATTATTATTATTATTATTATTATTATTATTTTTATTATTATAATAATAATAATAATAATAATAATAATAATAATAATAATAATAATAACGACAAAAGAAATATTTTTTAAAAGATAAAAAACAAGGAGTACGATTTACCTGTTGTTCTGACTGTAAGCATAGACACACCAGTCCAGGGTACCCAACAGAACCATCTCCCCAGGTACAGCGGCGATAGACAACACCCGGGTCTCGAACTGTGGACCACCGAGCACAGCGTCAACAAAAACAGAGTGGTTTTAGCGTTAGTAACAGTGTTACGGCATTTTCAGCACAGTAAGGTCAACAAGGGCTGAAGATTAGAAGTCTTGATAAAGAGTAACATACAAAGAAAAGAAGGACACACACTCACGCACACACACACACACACACGCACAGACATACACACACGCACGCACACACACACACACACACACAAACACACACACACACACACTCAAAGACACACACACACACACACACACACACACATCGCAGAGAGAGAAAGAGAGAAAAAATATGCGTCGGGGAAATATGCGTCGGGGGAGAGGGGTGGGGGAGAGAGAGAGAGAGAGAGAGAGAGAGAGAGAGAGAGAGAGAGAGAGAGAGAGAGAGAGAGAGAGAGAGAGAGAGAGAGAGAGAGAGAGACGCACACACGTAACACCCCTCTTATGCACACAAAAAACCCAAACACACCAAAAATTACATATACCCCTACCTCCCTCCCCACACACAAACATAATACAAAATTATAGCCAACACAAAAAAAGATCCACGCAGAAACAAAAAGGGAAAATGTCGAAAATGTCTACACGTGGGAAAATAATATTTGAGACGTGCTGACAAAATGAGTTACTTCTCTCAGTCCACAAGTTTAGATGTTGGCCAAAAATCGACACTAGGCTCGAATTTGTAGATTTTCTATTGATGCCATATTCTTTAACTTTAATATGCCTTTTAGTAATTCAAACTTATAAATTGTAAAAACTGCACCTATATAAGCGTGATGTATCTATTTCCATAGGTCTCAAATCCTTTGTCAGCACGCCTCACATATTATACTGGAGAAAGTGTTTGAATTTATAAAAATCGGTTACAAGTGACATAATAAAGTACATCCTCTGGAAAACGGGGACAAAAACCTTGTAGTTTCCCTTGCCGGATTTACAAGTTGGTCATTATTGTGTACCCGCAAACATTGTTAATTTGTAAAGTTTAAACATTTTTACATCCCCATCGACAAAATATTGATCTTTTAAGAGGCTGGCTGCTTCAAACCTGACAGTGAGGGCTAACATCATGGGCTGAAAGGGATATACCTGTCTCCCAGAAAAGAGAAATATTCAGCGAGCTATGATCTCGGCGTGAGCATTAATGTGCCGAGACATTTCACATAATTATTTATCTATTTTATACATATATTTTTTAAATTAATTTCTTTTTATTTGTTTATTTATTTATCTATTTCTTCATGTACTTATTTTTTTCATTTATTTATTCATATTTTTCTTGGAGGGGTAGGGTGGTTAATTATACACTTTACTTTTGCCTTTAGCAATGATCTGTTTGCATATTTTACTGGTATTACACTCTAGACTTAGCAACAGTATCGGGTCTCACCACAATCTCTGTGTCTGTCATCGTTTGCTCGTGACAGTCCACGATACAGATCCGGGATAGCGGTGGGGAACCGTACACCACCCACGCCTCACCTGAGGAGTAGAGGAACAAACAATGAACAAACTCTGGATCAAAGAGCGACAGTTGTGATGTTTACGTATAATGTTATTTCGTTTAAGTAAGTGTTTCACTGCATTTGCAACAGAATTAAATATTACAGGTGTCGAAAATTAGAGGTGCTACAAAAGAGTAACAATCACAACAAAGAAGGAGAAGAGATAAAGACGTGAGATAAAGACGATAGATGTTTGATAGGGAAGAAGAGGCAAACCACATCAGAGCACCCGCCAACCACCCACTCGCCTGAGGAATAGGGGGAAAATGAACAAACTCTAGATCAAACAGCCACAGCTGTGGTGCTTATACATAGTCATACTATTTCGTTTCAGTAAACGTTTTACGGCATTTGCAACACAATTAAGTCATACAGGTGTCGACGATTAGACAAAAGAGTTTTTAAAAATATTATTATAAAGTGAGCGAGGAGCGATAAAGACGATAGATGTTTGCTAGGAAAGACGGGGCAAACCACACCGGAGTGCCCGCCAACCACCCACTCGCCTGGGGAGTGAGGCACAAACTCTAGATAAAACAGCCACAACAGTTGTCGTGCTAGGGCATATTTTGTTTTCAAACATAATTTTTTTTAATTCATTAAAAAAAAAACCACTTACAAATAATCCTTCAACACAAAGCTAGAGCAACGAAACCACTACCCCTTGCCCAATTTGCTTCGTTTCCATAGAAGGCTACAATTTCCCCTAATCTGTTTTGTTTCGCACCACGAGTCGCACAAATCAAAATACGTTTACTTCAAATTCATGACAGAAAATATAAAGACGTATTCTAAAATGGTTTCATTACATCCAGAAAAAAATTGCAGCTACATTCTGAAAGTTCACAAAATGCACAACAGTGGAGCTAGCTTATTTATTATTATAACCCCGTCAAAAGGTTAAAGTTCAACAGGCTACTCACCGGGGCGGGTCACGGCGCAGCACTCAAAACCTCGCGGGCTCTCTGGGTCTCCGTCCAGGCTCTGGAACTGACAGACGAAAAGATGGCAGACGCATACGTCAAACAATAGCAGAAGTAGATTTTAGAATGGTTAAAAATACAACTCAAAAGTGAAAAAATAAAAATAAAAACAAAAATTGATAATGTTTTAAATAGCCAGATCACCCTGCACTCTAAATGACCAAAACTGTGGAACCGCCTTAAAACATTAACGCATCCATTCCACTTCCAAAATGGACTCAATTGCGTTGATAGAGGCATATTTAAGCATTACCCAAACAATGGCGCTATTTATGTATTAAGTGATCTCAATTCCATTGATGGGGGCATACAACTTTAATCAAACAATTACTCTATGTCCTTCTTAAATAATGACAATTATATTGATAGGGTCATTTAAAATATGACTAAACAGTCATTGAGCTTTCTTTCTAAACGGCCACGATTGCGTGGATAGAGCATAACATACGAGCGTATTTACATGCATAAAATAAAAATGAATAAGTTTGACACATTTCTCCTCCTGAAAAATTACAGTTGTTTTGATATGAGAGTAACAAAGCATCAAGCAAACAGTCACTCCGTATCCCTCTAAGTGACCATTAAACATACTCAAACGTAACTTTGTTCAGGGAGCATTTCACACAATGACAAAGTATAACAAATAATTATGAATGTCACTCATTTTGCGTCCTGATTTGGGAGTAAGATATCAAGCAAACAGTCAATCCGTGTCCTTCAAAACGATCTTAATTATGTTGAAAGGGTATTGCTCATTGACAAAATATTATAACGAACAATGACTCGGTGCATCCCCTAAACGACCACATTTGTTTCGAGAGTGCAGTAAATCGTTAATTGTAACTATCAAACAGTGACTCCGTACATCTTCTATTAATTGATCACATTTGTTTCGATGGGGCTGTAACACATTTTAAATGTACCAAACAGTGACTCTTGAACGACCACAATGTATCAAACAGCCACCCTAGGCGTCTCCAAAATGACCACGTTGTTTTCGATGGTGCTGTTATACATTTACTTTTTAGCAAAGAGTGACTCAGTGCATCTCCTAAACAATCACATTTGTTTCGATAGTGCTGTAAACCATCTACAATCTTGTTACGATATGGGCGTAAAACCTCTGAGCCAACAATCTCACTCACAGCGTTCTCCCTCTCCTGTAGCGCCAGCCTCTGTAGGTCCCGCCATCTGTACTTCTCCTTGAGCGCATTCAGATAGAAGGTTTGTTTACTCACGATGTCATGGCGACGGGGAAACGGCTTCAGCGTGCGGAATGCAACCTGGGACGAGACAGGGGGGGGGTTGTGAACAAGGGTGGGAAAGGAGGGGGGGAGAG